GGGGGGGGGAGGAGGAAGAACCAGTCCTGGAAGAAGGCCATTGCTGTCCTCCGGTCCCCTCATGAAATTGGGTCATTAAAAAATGCCGGCTGTCCTCCTCCCTGGACGGGGGCATGTTTCACGCGCGCAACCTCCGCCATCATCTGCCCGGCCCCTGGCGTGTCCCCCCGCACACGCACACACACATGCGCACATGCGCACATGCATGTATATGTGTATGTGTGTGGGCGCTACTACCTCGCGCAGGCCTACCAGCTCATCAGATCGGAGAAGGCGTCCTTCTGGGGAACGGCGGCGGCCGGGGCCGAGGCAGCCGGCATCGCCGAGCCGGTAGACATGCTGGCGAAGGGGTCCACCGGGGTGGCGGACGGGCGGCTGGCCACCGCATCGAAGAAGGACGGCTGCTGCGGCTGCTGGTAGTGGTGATGGTGCGGCTGCTGCTGCGGCTGGGCCGGGTAGCCCATGCCAAAGCCGGGCTGCTGCGGCTGCGGCTGCTGCTGAGGCATCATGCCAGCATGACCGCCGCCAGGGAACATCATCTGGCCACCGGGGGCGGCACCGGCGTATGCACCGGCCGCCACCGGCATCGGCTGGCCATAGGCACCGGCCGGAACCGCGGGCTGCTGGCCATACACACCGCCATGAGCCGGCATGCCGGCATACATGCCACCGTGCACCGGGGCCGGCTGCTGCGGGATCGGCGCGCTCGGGGCCGTGGCAAACAGCGACATGATGTCGTTTTTGGAAGCCTTCGGGGCGGCCGGCTGCTGGGCACCAGCGGCCGGAGTGGCCGGAGAAGAGAAGTCCGCAAACAAGTCCAGCCCGGGGGAGGAGGCAGTCGACTTGGCAGCGGCCGGGGCGGCGGCCGCGCCGCCACCGAAGAAGTCCGAACCACCCCACGGGTCGTTGGCGGCCGAGGTGGTGGCGGCAGCGGTCGGGGCACCGAAGTTGGAGAATTCGCCGAAGCCATCGTTGGCAGCAGGCTGGGAAAAGCATGGGGGGAGAGGGAGGGAGGGAGAGAGAGAGAGAGAGAGAGAGAGCAAATAAGAAGGAAAGGTGAGTGGAATCAGCGGATGAGGAGGCGCCCATGGCAAGACCACACCAGCGAAGGCCCCATGGGAGCAGGCGAGGGACGCACCTTGGCAGCCTGGGGCTTGCTGGCGGCCGGAGCAGCGGCAGCCGGAGCCGGGGACGAGAAGAAGGGATCGCTCGAGAAGTCGCCAAAGGAGGAGGCAGCCGGGGCGGAGGCCGGGGCAGCAGCAGCAGCAGCAGCCGGGCGAGAAGCCAGAATCTCAATGGCACGAGGCATCATGCCGTTGGCCTCCTGGAGGGCGGCGATGTTGGCGGCCTGTGGGAGGAGAGCAAAGTGTCAGAGGCATCAAGCACATGAAGGGGAGGGGGGGAGGCCGCAGGAGGAGGAAGAGAAAGGGAAATCACCGCCGCCCCCCCCCCCCCCTCCCCCCTCCCTGCTCTTCCTGCCTGTGTCCTGGTTTCTCGGCACCAGGAGCACCTCCGACAACCAAGAGAACGCACCTTGTTGGTGAAGCCCATGTTGTTGAGGGCCTGCAGGCGCGGGTCGCTGTCGAGGATGGCATTGCTCGGAGGAGCAGCGGCGGCGGCGGCGCCGGAGCGCCCGCCGAAGGCCGACGGGATGCTCGGCGACACCGGGCGGCTGCCCTCGCTGGAGAGGATGAGGTTGATGGCAGCCGACAGGTCGCCACGGGCCTGCTTCAGAGCCTGGAGATTGCGATCGGTGTTGTCGAAGCCCATCTCCGACAGACGGCGCAGATCGTCGTGGTACTTGGCCGGGATCTGCGAAGCGGAGCTGGCGCTGGTGGCGCCACTGCGGAAGGAGGAGGACGAGCTGCTGGCCGAGGCGGACTGGTAGTTGGTGGTGTTGACCGGCTGGATGTGGGAGGCGCCGGCGCCCGGAACGCGCGAGGCGAAGATCTTGGCCTCGTACTTGTCGCGAATGAAGCGCTCGAGGTTGCTAGATGGGTGTGCATGTGTGAGAACCGAGGGAGGGCAGGGAGGGGGCGGGGAGGATGCCCGAAGAGAAGCGAGCCATGGGGAAGGCGCGGAGGGGAGCGGAGGATACACCGGAACCGGGGGGGGAGGGGGTTGATGACATACGTGGAGTTCTTCAGGTCGCGAGGCTGGCGAGTCTCAGGGTGGGGATCGTAGATGGCGTTGACATTGGCATTGCCCTTGCTGGCGATGGACTGAGGGACGAGAGGGGGAGGGGGGCGGTATTTGAGCGAGGGGGGTTTGGAATCAAGCGGAAGAGATACAAAGAGAAGGGGAGAGAGAGAGAGAGAGAGGGTCAGACACAAGGGCAGAGGGAGGGGGAAGCGGGAGGGACGTGACGCACGGCAAGCTGCTCATCAGTCCAGTTGTCCAGGGTGATGGACTTGACGCGGGAGATGTGGGTGCCCAGGCGGCGGTGGACACCGGCACAGTTCATGCAAATGAAGCAACCGATGTTCCAGGAAGCCCAACGGGGACCCTTCTCGCCGCAATCGGCGCAGGTCTTGTTCTCGGGCCGGCCGACCAGCTCCATGAGGGCATTGCGGTTACGCTGCTCAGACGACATGGTGACGATGAGCCTGGAAGATGGGCGAAGCAAAAGGCGATCGGACAAAGGAGGAAGGAGGAGGAGGGCAGGGAGGGGGGGAGCGAGTTCGGGCGCGTGCGTCAGAAGGGGCCGCCAGAGAGGGAGGGAGTGTCGGGAGGGGGAGCGAGGGAGAAGGAGGGAGAGAGAGAGAGAGAGAGAAAGCCGAGCGGGGAGGGGGAGCGAACGTTGAGAGGAGGGGGGGAGGTGTTGACAAAGCAAGGGAGTAGGTGCGAGGGAGCCTGCTGGCCAGGGCCCCGCGGATGGCGGCGATCGCCGCGGTCCCGTAAAAGCCCCAGGCCCGGGCAATCGACGCATCGCAGCTACCTCCCCCGGGGGTCGGCCGGACGGGGGGGGGGGGGGCGGGCGGTGAGAGCTAAAAATGCGGGGGGTGGCCTTGGCCGCGCAGCTCCCCGCTTGCCCCCCCCCCCCCCCTCGGCCGCCGCCGCGGGCCGG